AACCCACCCACCCAAACAACCAAAACTTTTCCACTACACTAATTTCTCTCTCAGATATCAAATTAATAACAAAACACCCTTCGGTTCAAAATATCTACCTTTAGGGATGCCTGGGGGGGCTCAGTCAGTTAAGCGCCCGACTTTGGCCCAGGTCACGATATCACAGTTCCTGAGTTCAAGCCCTGCATCAGGCTCTGTGCTAACCCTGCAGACCATGCTTGGGACTCTCTCTCCCCCTCTCTCTCTGCCCGTCTCCTGCTCTCTCTCAGAATAAAAAAAAAAAAAGTCTACCTTTACATCTAGTCTAAATGATGTAAGGGATGATATTCAATTTTAAAATCCAGAATGATTTAAAATTTAAAAGAAAAGAGTACTAAAATGTAGTCAATGCTTGGGAACTAGCCTGAGTCATTCTGTCTTTCAAAAAACATCAACCAACTAGCATGTGCCACACACTCCACCAGACCACGGGCGTGAGCCCTGATTTCTCCCTCTTCAAAAGAGAATATAAACCAATTATTTTAGGTACAATAAAAGTTTTACACTAATTGTTCCAAAACAATTGAACCTAAAAATAACTTAGTTATGATAGCGAACCTAAGGCATAGACACTAATTTTCATGCAATGAAGGCAACCAAGATTACTTAGGAAAAGATTAAAGTAATATGAAGTAACATGTTTATTGCTCCCCAAATGAAGGCAGACACAGGCTTGGATAGAAAGGAGACATGTGATCTTATCGTTATGTTCCAATTAATATATAACCTCTTCACTTCTTGGAAAGGCCTGTTTGCAACAAGAGATGAATTAAAAAATAATTTCCTTTTTGAATATCTTTCTACAGCAACACCTTGAATTGAGAATTTAGAGAAAATACTTCCAGTTTTAAAAACTCACTTTGTGATGCATTCCTGGGACTCACAATCACTTTTGAGTTTATGATACACCACAGCTCCTACTGCAAGGGGTCCAGCATCTCCACACAGGAAAGTGACCCTGCGGCCATTTAGATTCCGAAGTGTTCTCTTTACATAATCCAGGGATCGGAGCAGGTAGGTCTGGTCACATGTGACCCGGTACAGCTGCAGGTATAAAAGGGCTATGCCTAGAATAATGCCCCACCCCCAAAGAAAAGCATTATTACCTTTCTTTTTCACCTTCAGGATATTATTTTATGATTACACGAAAAACTACATAAAACCTGTTTCTGAAGGAGCCTCGTCCAACAAATTACACATGATACATCTTTTAAAAACAGAAAGATGGGGTGCTGGGTGGCTCAGTCAGTTGTGTGTCTGATGCAGGATTTCAGCTCAGGCCATCATCTCATGGTTCGTGGGATCGAGCCCCACATTGGGCTCTACGTTGACAGAGTGGAGCCTGCTTGGGAGTCTCTCTCTCTTTCTTTCTCTCTCTACCTGCCCCTCCTCCACTCGTGCTTTCTCTACCGTTCTGTCTCTCAAGTTAAAAAAA